AAGAAACACAAGTTCACGTACGAGCTGATATTTGGAACCAGTGCGATCAACACATCGGTACCATGCTGATGCAGCTGTTTGTTTCTCTTCAGATGGCGATAACTGCAGATAGCTCTGTGGTAGGCACTCACCTGTGTATGTGCATGTAAGATAACATTCAGGCCTATTGTTACCATCTACTTTTAAAGGCTGAAAACCCTACTTACCTCCAGCAAATGCTGCAAACAATTGATTCCCAAGTGAACTATAAATAATGTTCACAGCACAGAGCCCGTGCAACATACAGTTTTAGTGTTACTGAGTATGCAGAACCTGCTGCCTCTGGTAGCTATATACATCATGATAGGTTCAGGCTCCAGTCACCCAGAGCCTAAGATCTGGCATGTGTTTTAGAGCTAGAGTATTTGCAGATTAGTGAATACTACCCACAGGGCCAGGTATGATGTGGAAACTTGAAAATACAAAGTGTCTGTACTGACATACTAAATATTACTGCAAAATAATATAAAATATATATGCTGGGAGGAGATGAGGGGAATGACTGAGAAATGTTGCCAAATATAAAGCAATTTATGCAGCTGGAGGCCCAGCCTCCATTATGTGCAGGACTTCTGCTGTAGAGAGATTTTTGAAGGAAAGACTGCAGGCAAGGAAAATGAGATGAAACTGGGTTTAGAAAGGATAGAGTTTAGCAGATAAAACTGCTAAAAGGTTGATCAGAATCAAAGCAAGTGTGGTAGAAGATGGGAGAACCTCTGGAAGTTTTCAGCCATGCTGATTTGTCCCCCTTGAAGTTAGTGAACCAGGCCTTGTGCTGCTTTCCTGTACCCTCCCCTGCAGGGTCAGAGCACTTGGCTTGATCACGGCTCTAGGAGAGAAGGATCTTCCACATATTACAAGCCAGAGCGATGAAGTCTCCAGCACCACCATCACAACAGTACAACCTTGCAGCCTGTTGCCAATTTGGCAAGAAAATGCAACACATGAGTTAAGAAAGCTCCCCCTATCTGATATACACAGAGTCAGCTCAGTGTCTGTTCAAGGCTGCGTTCTCCCCCTGTTCCAGGAAGATTTATTGTCTTGGCAGCAGAAGCATATGAGATCCTGGAGCCAAGAGTCGAGCAGTGATGTAGTGTTCTCATTACTATTCTGCATCTCACATGGTAAACTCCACAGAACCTGGAGTGCTGTCGTGCACACACACTTTGATTTCCTCTACAGGAAGTCAGCTTGGGTTCATTCACATCTAGTGGCTCCAGATCCATGTGATGAGAATGCATCTACTTTTACAGGTGTGGAAAAATAATCAGTACATTTGCACTGTGTTTTTTGTCAGCAAGCTTGGCAGACCAAAGCCAGCTGCTCTGACCTATCTTGGAGTCTGTGCAATGCAACATGAGCTGTCCAGCTCCCTGCACACTCTGGGTGAGCAAGTTAATGCACAGATCCAGGCCTGTCAAAGACCTGACCGTGGTGCTAAAATTTCAATACATAAATCAAGCTACAGAATAAATATTTGGGGCGAGAGCATTTGTTCTGAGGAATTCAACAAACAAAAGGCATAATCTTCTTCTGATTATTCAACCTTTTTAACATTTGTCCGGGCAAAGCTATCTTGAGGATCACTCAGATATTGTTGTCGAAACCCAAGGTTATAGTAATTTTCACAGCCCGTATGATAAATGGTGTCTTTGCTATATGGGAATGAATAATTGCATATAGAAATGCTGTAATCTTGAGTTGCAATTGGTAAAAAAATCAGCTATTGCTGTCCATAGCAAATTTTAAAAATGTTTTTACTTTCTCATGGTGCTGCAAAAAAATTCCTCCATAGGTACTGTGGGAAAATGCTGAAGCTGATTAAACAGAAATGCCACTACATGTGTAAAGGCTTTCTTTTTCTAGAATGCACTTTTCTAAAGTGCATTCATTTGCTACCCTGACATAGCACCTGTAATTGAAATTTGAGGCCTGTATTCAAGACTGTTTTTGACCTCTGTAGTAAGGACAAGAAGTTTCAATGAATACAGAGTCCTGACTTGAACCTTTGCCCTCTGCTTTACCCCATTCTACTCATTATTCTGTTTCAATCTGCTGCTAAGGGATTCTCCCATCAGCTTTCAAATATCTAAGCATCACATATAAAACTGTGTGTGTTCATTTAAAATTAATCTCCAATGTGCCACTTTATTTTTAGTGTACCAGTTGCTAACCGAGAAAAATAATGTTTGGGCTGCTCTTGCAGTCAGTGGAAAGCTTCAACTACTTTCCCCTGAGATTTGTCAGTTGTGGGGTTAATATTTGCAGAAGAAGATTTAAAATGTCTGCTAATTCTGGCTGGCAAAGGATTACAATACGGTCTTTTCACAGAAATGCTGTAGATTGTTCATGTTCTTTTGGCTTTTCTAGGGCATGGTTAAGGACTCCTAAACCTGTTGTTATCTACAGGATATTGAATTTTGTTAAATTATGGCTTCACTGAGGGCTTTTGAGATATTTTTAGCAGAAGTGGAAGAAAAAGAGGTTATTAAAAGGGCAACTAGCAGATGATTTGGCAGCATTACACGTAAAGCATAAACACTGTCTTCTTCCACTGTCGCTTCTTGCTGTTCATGTTCCTCTGACCAAAATATGTCTGATATTTGCATTGATCCATTTAATACCACAGAAAGGGAGAGGGAAAGGGAAAGGGAAAGGGAAAGGGAAAGGGAAAGGGAAAGGGAAAGGGAAAAGCGGATTATTTTTTTTAAACAATCACATTTTCTTACATAAACACAAATTTGATGGCAAGCAACGTAGAATGTTTGAGCAAATATTATAGGAATATTTTCAAACAGCTGGGATTTTAATTATAAAAACAAAGGTCTTTGTTACTGTTATTCATCAAATTATTTCTGCATATACTTGAAATGACTCCACATTTATATGGTTTGCCTAATATATCCTCAAATTTTATTTATTGCAATGACATAGCCTCAATTAAAAGATATTACAAAACAATGGAAGACAAAGGCTTCTGTCTAGAACATTGATAAGAGGAGCTAGTTATAGGAAAAAATTTTCACTAAGTTCACCAAGGACTTTGGAAAAGAACCTGATGAATACCACTTCATTTTCCTTTCATTCTTTTCTTATGAACAAACACAGGTGGAAAAAGCTACAGGGTATGTATTATAAGGTAATTATATAAAAACCTAGACATTTTGAGGTATTCATGTAGATTGCCTGGTTTTCATTTTTAAAAATCAAATTTGTATTGAGATTTTGTTTGCTAAACATGAAGAATATGTTCTACAAGCACCTGACATTTGTACAATAATTCAAATTCCTCCAGGTGCATTGGACAAAAGAACTCCATCAGCCAGACTTCTCATTGCCCTGAGCCTTCAATGATACTATCTGTGTATAAGATGCCACTAAATTATTAGACTGTCTTCCAGTGGTTTAGAAAGCTGCATAAAAGCTTGGCAAGAGGCAGCACTGGTGGTGATCTCCTTAGCTCCTCATATGGCTGTGGTTCAGACAGAGACAAGTGGCTGATGAGCAATGCCTGCACAAGCTAGTTCAAAACTGCAGAGAAGGGCTTAAAGAAGCTTGAGAGTAACAGGGAAATCAATGAAAATGAAAGAATCCCAAAAGTATCTGACAGATTTTTTTTTCCTTTGGTGAAAGTACAGACTCTTTTGTTTAAGAGGATGTAGGATTAGCTATGGTAAAAAATTACATAAAACCCTGTCAAAGTTTTATCTGCCAGTTCAATGATATCAATTAATTTAAATGCTAAGATCTGTAATGAGTGGTTTTTATCATGCAAACTAATAGATGCAAGAAATTAAATTAGAAAGTTATTACATAAATGAAAGAGTTGTATTTTGGTACAAATTGGAATTAGATATTAAGTGATATGTTGCCTAGACAAAAATGTTGCAAAAACATAAAATTATTTAATTTGAGAAAGAACTTTAACATCATCAAGACCAACCATTAACCTAATGCTGCCAAGTTCACCACTAAACCATGTCCATAAGAATCACATGTACACATTTTTAAATTGCCTTTAGGGACAGTAACTCTTCCACTTCCTTAGGCAACCTGTTTCACTGCTTTATAACCCTGTTGGTGAACATTTTTCACCTAATATCCAATCTACAACTCCCCTGGCATAACTTGAGGCCATTTTGTCTTGTCACTTGTTACCTGGGAGCAGAGACCAACCCCCTGTTCTGCCCAGCAGGACTTGGGGGTGCTGCTGGGTGAGAGGCTGGGCATGACCCAGCCATGGGCACTGCCAGCCCAGAGAGCCAAACGTCCCCTGGGCTGCCCCAGTTCTGAGGGGCCCAACATTAGAATGATGTGGACCTGCTGCAGTCAGTGCAAAGGAGGGCTACATACATGGTCAGAGGACTGAGTACTTCTCTAGTATGGAGAGACTGAGAAAGTTGGGGTTGTTCACCCTGGAGAAGAGAAGGCTCTGGGAAGAGCTTATTGTGGCCTTCAGCTACCTAAAGGGGGCTACAAGAGAGCTAGAGACAGACTTTTTAGAAGGACAAATAGGGATAGGACAAGAGGGGATGACTTTAAACTAAAATAGTTTAAAGAGATTTAGAAGAGATATGAGGAAGAAATATGTTTGCTCTGTGGTGGGTGAGGCACTGGCACAGGTAGCCCAGAGAAGCCGTGGATGCCCCTCCCTGAATCTCTCTAAGGCCAGATTGGATTTAGCTCTGAGCAACCTGGTATAGTGGAATTTGTTCCTGTCCGTGGCAGGGGGCTTGGAACTAGATAATATTTAAGGTCCCTTCCAACCCAAACCATTCTATGATTCTATGAGTCCTGATTTCTTGGCTTCTGGAAACTTTTTGGTTATGAACTGGAAACACAGGAAATATTTATACTTATTTCCTTCCTCTTTTTTTCTTGTTATATCCTACATGGTGGTAAACCTAGATCTGGATTTATTCCTGGCACCTTAAAATCTGATATAAATCTTCTTGCTGCAGAAACAGAAGATGCCAAGTAGCTTTGCTGGAAATGGCATCCCAGCATTGTGCAGCTGTGTGACCATGTAGAGGGCCAGGATGATCAGAAGTGAATAATGGTACTGTTACCCAAATGAAACTTCTCCATGTGTCAGACAGCAGGTAGAGCCATAGCTTTAAAATCAATATCTAAATATGTTGGAAGAAGCATAATTAACATCTTTGGAAAATCTTAACTTATCATTTAGGACAAGGGCTGCTGATAAAGCCAGTGAGTGTTGTCTTATGATAAATTGGCTTTGCCATACAGACCTTATCTTCACAGGAATGTTTGCAAAGATCCCCACCCAGATATTATATTTCTTGTGCCACAAAACTAATTGAAAATATGTTGTGAGGTTTCATAATTTACAAGATGTTCCATACATTCATCTTAATGATTTCAGGTTGTGGAAAGAAGCACGATTCTTTCACTTATTTTGAGTGTGAAATGTATTTTCTTTCCTTCTGTATCAAAGTGATACTGTAAGAAAACACTGGACAGCTGAACTAAATGAATAGTTGAAAAAAATCAGCTCAGGACTGGTCACTCATAACTGTATATTTAATTTCCTCTCTAAAAAAGCCCTGAAAAGTCAATTATTCCATAATTTCATGAAAATCCGACTAATTTTTTTTCAGGAACACCTTTGCATTGTGCTGTGAATGCCAAATGTGACAACTTCAACACAAGTGAACATGGAATCACCTGTCACTCATTTCTTCCAAGGAAATCCAAGAGACAACACATGCCAAATTCTCCTTCTGTGTAATGTGGAAGAAAAAAAATACACTATGTGCTCCTAGACACTATAATTCAGATTTTTATTATGCAGGGAAAAGTGCTTTTGTAGGAATAAAACCCATTACCACCAAAAGTCCAAATAATTGAATGTGCTCTAAAGTCAGGTTTTTTCTGTGCAAATTCAGTATGCCAGATAGGGAAGGAAAAACTTAGAGGAAAGGAACAGGCTATTTCATATAGAGCCTGCACTGTCAACTCACAGAAGAAAATTTTCTTCTAGAAAGGAGAATTTTATATCTTAAGGAATTAGAAATGAATTCAGGCACAAGATCATGTAGAACACTCTCAATTTTCCTACAGGGCTAGACTAGGCAATGTGAAAGGCAGAATAGCACCAGTACTTTTCATACCCAGTTACTCAACAGTTGTGGGAAAAGTCTCCACTGCTCACAGTCTTTAGCCTCTGTGTAAGACCATAGGTTTTTAAACAGCACCAGCAATCTCATGTTTTTAAAGGAGAAATAGCAATCCAGGATAGCAAGTCAGCAACTCACAAGAGTTTCTGGTAAGCAAGAAATCATATGTAATAATATGCCTAATTTTACTAGGTCATAACATAGTTATGTTAAGACATTGATGTGCTTTCTGAAGTGAATCTTACAAAGAACTTCTTTAGTATTTATAAACATAGATTTTAGAAGTATATGCATGAAAATATTATACAATTAGTGATATATATTCTGAACCAGATTATTTGGTACAAGTACAAATTCAGTTTTACAAAAACAGTTTTGAAAAGTTGAAAATAATACAAGAAAATTAAATACAGAAAGTAAAGCCACTTGTATCAGTATTTTTAGTGCTGTCCTCCTTCTGCAGTGTAGAATGGTGATTTTCTTCTCAAATGATTACTAATGAGATGGAGATTGCATGCCTCTATTTTTAAATCAAAAGGTGTCCTTAAGGAATGCCACTGGAGAGTGCAAAGTAAAAGATCCTCTGTATAAGGCCTGGTTTAGTTTCACTACTCTTTTGGACATCAATATTTTTTTATTGATAAATACACTGTCCAAGTTCTAGGACTGGATTAGATTAGAGCAGGGTTTAGGAAGGGATATAGTAGCCTTATATCCTCTTTTCACTCCAAAAACTATTTGATTTTCAGCACAAAGGACTGAAAACCTAACATACTCATTGGCTGTGTCGATGGTTACTGGATTTGCTGTCCATTGACTTGACCTGACTGTTTATTTTCTTGTGCTGTGCTGTCTGTACGTCTCCTCACTTGATGAGATTGGAAGAAAGAACACAGGGGAATCTGCTGCTTGAAGTCACTTGATGTCAAAGCTGGTGAGGAATTTGCTAAAAAATAACCTGTTTTGTAGAGAAAAATGTAGCAGAATCTGTCTCAGAACTGCAGAGGAGAAGTCTAAAACTCAAATGTGCTTGTGCCGCCCCCAATAGCAAGTAGCAGCCCCTAAGGTGTGTGGGAGGCCTCAGGAAATCACCACTGGATACTTAAGGAATTTACTGACCTTGAGATTGAAGAGAATACTGAGGAAGGGCAAGATGTAGAAGGTGGGTCAGCAGATTTGAACTCTTTATTATGCTGTAACAGCTGTTGCTATCAAAGCAGAAACATTTCCATTCCTCTGATTCCCATTCTGAGCCTGAACTAATCCTATGGCCTGGCCAAGGTAAATAGCACATAGATCAGGCAGACCATCATAACACTTTTAGTAGAGGTCAATTGTATGGACTACATTGCTTGAAATGTCCACAAAAATAATTTCTCTCTCTTAATTGACTATAGTGATCTATTTGTTTGACTAATTATTTTTATGAAGAAAATCTTCTCTTGCCTTTTGCCATAAAATTACCATGAAAATGTCCTCAGCTTGGTGCACTACACTATATATATTGCAAAAATATTCTCCACCAGTATAAAGAAAGGTTTTAAACATGTCACTCCTTATTAATATCACAGCATTAGAAACTAGAGACAAAAAGGAGGAGGGCAAAATTGTTGTTGCTTTATTTAGAAACAAAGTACATGGGGAAAAAAATGTCTCACTTGTTACAAGGCACATGGTGATGTCACATTCCACAAAGATTTTGGTGCAAGGAGTATAACAGTCTGTATCTGTTAATTTTTATAGCACTTAACACTAACTGGAGCAGAAGGAAAATATGGTATTTCCCTTTACTGCTAAATATAGGAATCCTAGGGAGCCTGTAGGTAAATTCTTGTTATCTAAGGAATCGCTCATTACTCAGTCAAGTCTGCAGAGGAAGACAAGGTTATCACACGCTTTTGAGATGCCTGATAGAGCCTGTTTAGAAAAGTCTGACCCGAGCTCATTCTTAAGATAAATTACCTCCTGCAGTGTGTTCCTGGGCAAGCCATGCTCTGCATGGCAGCTGTAGGGCAGCTGGCTCCACAGCAGAATGATACCTGTGTGCATACACAGCCTCCCACAGCCTCCTTTCCCTTAAAAGGAAACCTGAATGGCCAAGAAAGAAAACTGCTGCAGTGTAGTCCCAAGCTTTCCATGGTCTGTGTGGCTGGAAACTGAAGCTGCAGAAGGAGCCAGCCAGCCAGCCGTGTAAGCACAGGCAAAGGATGGTAATGGAATCTCAGCGCACTGAGCTATTGTCTACACAAAGGTGTGCAATCTTATGTGACACAAGTACTCAGGGGAAAGGGTATTTTTTTGATTTGGATCATAAACACCTTCTGGCAATATCATGATGTTGACAAGACATTCGATTCTGTACCCACATTATAATACACCCATGGTATGCAATTTTTTAGTCAGAAGTCTTCCTTTAGTCAGAGGCCACACTTTTTTTTTCACCTTGCCAGATTTGTAACAGTGTTATTTTTGATAGAAATTTTGAAATTTTTTGTTCACATGTGTAACAAACATGAGAGCAGAATTGATACCTTCAGATACTGATAGCTAAATTATCTCTGATTTAAAAATAAGTTATTTATTCTGACAGTTCATAAAGAAGTCTGATAGCAACTGCTGATACCAGGAAGTATGACATTATTCAATGCATACATATAAACAAAACAAACAAGGCAGAAAGTTATGCCTGGTTGAAATCTCTTTCAGCTTTTCTGAAACAAAAGTATGGAGTGATAAATAGGCTATAGCCTAGGTATGATCTACTTCACTGTTTGCAGCTCATGGGTGATAAATATTCCTGAATTACCTGAAAGCTGATGGACACTTGAAACATAACACAGAATTTCCCCTGTGTTTTCCCTGATTTGTCAAGATTCTGAAATTAGCAAATGTTCAGTCATACATTGAAAGTGTACAGCACTATTTCTGCCTCTGGCATCTTCAAGACAATCAGAACAGCATGTGACTGCAGTTATTGACTACTGGGCAATATCACTTGCAGGTTATTCAAAGTGTTTCAGGAAATTTGCTATTCTTGTGTAATTTCTAGAACAGTACTATACCTAGCCTACTGAACTTTAGGGTTATGTGCTGTAAAAAGAAGTATGGTACAAACATTTTTTAAAGTAGACAGTTCAAATATCGTACCATCCTGAAAAAAAAGGTGTTTCAAGGAGAGATCCCCAGCTTTTGGACCACCTTTCTTAGGTGGAAGGTAACAGTTGTCTGAAGACTGGAATAGTGAGATGGACTGTGCTGAGTGTAGCTAGACAATGAATCACAGTGCCGTGGCAGAGAGACTGTGTGTCTTAATTTGTAGTGATAAACTGAATCACAAAGCAGAATAGTATGAAAAGATGAAGATTGGTCTGTGGCCAGCGAATGCAAAGAAGGAAGCAGTGATTTCTAAGCTGCCATCTTAGTCCAAAGGATTTTGGGGGTTTGATGCAATCAGTAGATACTCAAAAAACAAATGACATCTTACCCTGGGCCTAACTGCATAAAAACCTGTACAAATATTTAATATTACATAGATCCTGTAGACAATTTTAAAATTTTGACAAATACATGTCTGCTTCCCACTTCTGTATCAAAAACTGGGCATAAACATTGTCTGACAATCCATGTGATAATTGATTATAGACTGCACATCTGAGGATTTAAATGTCCCAAGTAAATCTTGTTCTTGTTCTTGTTCTTGTTCTTGTTCTTGTTCTTGTTCTTGTTCTTCTTCTTCTTCTTCTTCTTCTTCTTCTTCTTCTTCTTCTTCTTCTTCTTCTTCTTCTTCTTCTCCTTCTTTCTTTCTTTCTTCTTTCTTCCCTTCTTCTTCCCTTCTTCTCAGAAGAACTGTAGAAGTTAAAAATTTCTCATTTTAATGCCTCCAAGGATTGAAATGTCCAGGATCAGTTTTCCCCAGCTGCATACACTCTTGTGTGAGTGATGATGGGCTCAGCCATCCATGCAATGCAGAGAGAGACAGTGCTCACATTACACTGCCACAAATGTGTTGTATCCTCATGCCTCGTGGAAGAGGGGAATTTGGTAACCAAAGCTCTTCATAGCTAAAAGCTGGCTGCTTGGCAAAATACTGGTTATGCTCTTTAGTTTCTTCAGTTGTGCTGAAATACTAATGGGGACAATGATTCCTACTCCAGACATTTTCGAAATGGTTTTGATGCTGGGAAAAATGGTGCCGAACCCGTCCCAGCATTTGAAGTGCTGTGTTAATTCAACCTTTCTTTTTTATTGGGAAAGCCCAAATGCACCTTTAGTGAGTGTTACAGATGGAGTAAAGACATTACTGCTTTGCAGATTAGTGCCTGTTAATATGCTGATTTGGTGAGAGAGAAGAATGATAATATCCTAAAAACACAGCTACAAGAGTGAGAAGAATGGATTCTATTTTTCTCTCTTCATGTTTAAATTTCTCCCTTCCGTTTCTACAAAGAAAGCAGTAGTTTTAGTTTACATGAGTCAAAAGGCTTGGTGCAATGAGTTTTTTAAAAGAGGGTATTTTGATACTTGTATAAACTGTGCCTAAAAATATTTTCGCATGCTATTTTAATTTTTAATTAGTACTGTTCAGCCAATCCCCATTTATTCACAGATTTTGCAAACTTTTTCTCTCTATTTTTAAGAGAACCATGAAAAATCTAAAAAAAACAAACATATTTAGAAAAATCTAAAATTGATCTCTGCCTTAACCTCTCCTGGTAAAGTCATGCAAAAAACACTACCCTTGGGATAGCTACAAAGTGGGGTACTTAATGATACCCTCCTTCATGGTTTTTGCATATGAAAATTACACAAAGGCTAAGAACATTTGGTTATATAAAAGTACTGAGACATGTAAATATGGTATGTCTGGACTGCAGTTAAGGGAGAGAGAAAGGACCCTCCAGTGAGCCATTCATTCCACTTAAAAGAATTAGTTGTTTGAGAATTGCAGAAATAATTGTCCATCCCTTTCTCCTCCCCAGAGATGGAGAACTAGCTTAGAAATTACACTTAATTTTCAGCAGATGAAATGTGTTCCCATGGAAAAGAAAGTAGAATTTGTTTTCAGTTTTTCTTATAAAATCTAGAAAGATCTAAGTGATCAAAGTTTGAGAGGTTTCTACCTTCTTTGTGTGAATATTTTATTATTTTTCTGCTTATCATACTATTTCTGTCAGCTTGTTCTAGGTTTCTTCAGATTGGCTGTGAGTTTTTGGCTGCATGCTAATACAACTCAAAATTAGGTCCCATATGGTTCTGGACACCACCCAATACTAAAATCAGAAGGAAGCATTACTTCTAATGGAGGAATTCAAATCTATCCTATACTCATAAACCTGAAAGCACTCCAATTCAAAGTTCTTTTTTTGTCTGGGCTCTACTTAACATCAGAAGTCTAAATGTAAAATACATGACAAAGAGGAAGACAATGCGGAGAGAGGAAAGAGTGAGTAGGCAGAATTCCACTCTGCAAAGCCAGGAATAGATTTGCTGCTGTTAGCAGATCTGCCACTAAACACGGCGCACAATGCTGTAAATATCACAGCATGGCACTATCTGCCTCTTACAAAAGATCACACCAGGGCAGCACTGATGTGGTCTCTCTACTGTACACAGCTCCAGCAAGAAAAGGCGGGAGAGTTGCCATCATGCCCATGTATTTTATGCTGTGAAAAAACTGCAAGATATTTTTATAGCTGTCTGGTTTCCCTCTTTTCCTTTAGGCGTCTTTCCTCAGGCAGCCTTCCAAATGGAAGGCCATCATACAAGAAAAATAAACAAATAAAATAACCAGATTAGCACTGAAAATAAAAAATGTAGGAATTTTAAAGAAACAGGTTAGAAATATGGGGTTTGCGTGGCTTGCGGTTTGAAAGGTCAGAGAGTAGCTAAAACCTGGCAGCTAATCTCCAGTGCTCACAGATAATGCCCTAAACCTGTCTTTCGTGCTTTATTCTTGAAAGACATATCAAATAGTCAGTAATTACAAAAAAATTTGGGGAACATGACATTCTTTGCTTATTTTCAGTTTTTCTTCAGTGATGCTTCATTAAGGATCAAGCTTTTATAATCCATGTGTTTTGCAGGCACATGGAGACAAAAAGGTTTGCAAAGCTCTTCAAAACAAATTAGATAAGAAAAATTATAGACATCATTGACCATAGATAAAGCCCATTGTAATTGGCCAAATTATTTTTAATGGAATCAGATCCAAGTAAGAATTTTAAAGGCCAAAACCAGCATTTCTTCAAGATTTACTGGGAAGTATCCATTGTTGCTATTGTCCTCTCTTCACTGCTGCCCATGACTCATCTTCTAGAGCACTGCAGCTGCTGGAACTCCAGAGAAAAATGTTTCCAACCCATTTTGTGCATGAGTGGGAGGACTGAGAGAATCCATAATACTGCACTCTTCTGGGAATATGAGTACTGCCAGCACTAGGATTAGGATGGATGGGGAATTATTAAGGCCAGCTGATTCAATGTAGGATTTCCTCTCTCATCACATCTCTGAACAGACACATGTTCTTTTTGCATGGCTCAAGAAGTTCATGCAAGGGACGGTATCACAACCCCATTTATCCTGAAACTCCTGCTGTGACTAAAGACAGGATTTTCACTAATAAAAGGCAATACTAAGTTATTATATTTTTTTTTACTGTAGCAACAGAAGGAACCAGGTAGGTAAATTAAGAGATTTGTAAAGACAATTGGAATATACAAAGAACATACTACATGAAAAGAGATGAGAAGAGGACAAAAAAAGTGAGTGAATTAAGCTAGAATGGGAAATGGAATAATAATATTAGAAAAGAGGATGATTTAAGTATACATGACTGGGAATGGAGATGTGCCTTAAGAAGCCCAAAGTAAGGGGCTTCCAAAAGGGAGAGAAAAATCTGGAAATTCTTTCTGACACAGAGAAAAAATGAGGTGTGAAATTGCAGAAAACTCAGAAAAACTAAATAACTCTAGGAAGCCTTTATTGTTGTTCAAGGTATCAGAATTGTAGATATTAATGCTATAATCCTACTTTACATCTTATTTTGCTTTTCATGTCTCATCACGTAGTATCTTACTGGTACTCAATACTTCATTTTGGCACTGGGAAAGAAAGAACACATATTTTCCTGCTGATCCCAATCCCTCCAGTTATTCTGAATTTTGTCAGTTTTTTTTATTTGTGCACTGTACTGCAGTACAGCCTTACCAGAAATATCATGGTAATATGTAGAAAACCTTTTAATAGAACTCTGCATCATATGTGCCCTGAAAAATCATGACTTGAATGTTTCAGTGTACACATATCTAACATGGACTCAGTCACTGAGGTAAGAGAGAAAGGCAATGAGAACTCATTATTTGAGACCTGATAGAGTTTGGCAGCTCTGCAAGAATAAAGGACTTGTTTCTTGAAGGGCAGAAGGTCATGAACAAAGAGAAGATGGATGTAAAAAAGTATAGAATATATAAGAATGTGATATCACATATTTAATTCCACAGATCTGAGGAACTGCACACACTGACTGACCAAGAGAGAGAGGAAGAACCGTAGGCTTTCTGCAGAAGTATTCATCAAGCGGGAAACGCAGCGGATGGTGTTACAGAGTGCAGGGTGAGAGAACACACAGCTGAGGAAGATAACAGGAAAAATAATGTGTATTGGTAGATTAAAGAGTAGAGAACTGATTAATTGTGACTTGCAATGTTGCACAATGGCATTACTGCAGGCAAAACAGAGAACAATTTCTTGAAGGGTGTGATCAGCAATATGGGTTTTTCTCAGATTTTTAACTTAAAATGTGCTATCTTTTTCTTGCATCAGGCAAGACAGTACAGATCACAATTGTATCATCTTCAGTAAAATAGTAAAAGACCCAGTGTCCAAGTGCTGTGAGTTAATCCTGACGAGCAACTCAGCCACATGGCCGCCATCTTGGTCACTTACCCCAGTGGGATAGAGGGGAGAATCGGAAAAGTGAGAACACCTGGGGTTGAGATAGGAAGAGTTTAATATGGAAAGGGAAACAAATCGTGTTTATGGAAGCAAAGTAAGTAATTAATTCACTGGGAGGCAGCTGTTCAGCCATTTCCAAGAAGGAAGGGCTCCATCATGCATAAGAGTTACTTGGGAAGACAAATGCTTTAACTCCAAATGTCTCTCCCACCCTTCCTCCTTCTTTCCCTAGCTTTTTATTACTGATCATGACATGATGTGGCATGGAATACTTCTTTGGTCAATTGGGGACAGCTCTTGCAGCTGTGTCCCCACTTTCTTGTATACCCCGAGCCTGATTGCTGTTAGGTTGAGGGTGAGAAATCACAGAATCACAGAATGGGTCAGATGATCACAGTGGGTCATCTGCTCAAGCAGGGACATCCTAGAGCATGTGGCACAGGATTGATCCAGACAATTCTTGATCCCCAGCGAGGGAGACTCCACAGCCTCTCTGGACAATCTGTTCCAGTGCTTGGTCACTCACACAGCAACAAATTTCTTCCTCACATTCAGGTGGAACTTTCTGTGCTTCTGTTTCTGGCTGTTGCCCCTTGCCCAATTGTTTGGCAGCAACGAGGGGAGCTTGATGCTGCGTAAGCACTGCTCAGCAGTACAGTAACAAAAACACTGTTGTGTTATCCCTAGTGTTTTGTTTACAAATGTGAAAAATAGCAACCTACCAGCTGATAGGAAGAAAATTATTCTTCAGCTCTGTGAAAAGAAATAGGGGCTCTCCATGTTATCTTTTTACTACAAAATATGGGAACTTATGGAGAACTAACTTTGCAAACAAAGGATAAGGAGAGGAAACCTAGACATCTGCATGTGCAAGAGAGGACTAGCAACATCCTGCATATACTTTTTTATCATCTTTTTTTTAATGATCTGTGGGGAGCTCTCTGTCACACAAATGGAGCTTCCTTTTCAGTGTGGGACTGGAACTGCCACCATCAATATTGCCAGCTCACGGGGCAGTGAGTGTCACGCAATGGGGGAAATGGCTGAAGCAAAACCAACCCCTTAGCACTTCTCCCCTCTGCACTTGCCTTCAGGGATGCCTTGAATGAGAGCTCAAAGATTATATAACCTGGCAGCAGCTCTTTAGGCTGGTTTGTGAGCCTACAGTATCTGCTATGACTTCTTATGAGTAAAGCAGATGTGCTTGTTCAGAGTTATTTAAATATTTCTGTCATGGATGTAGCTTCTTTCAGAAGCCAGGAATCATCAAAATTTCACATTTTTCTCTAATTAAAACAGTTTCCAATAATTAAATTATATGTGTCTGTGTTTCTGCTTCAAAAAGGCTAAATCATTGGCAAGCATCCTAAAGCAGGATTAGACTGCAGACCAGCTCAGACAATGCTTCCAGGCATTGAGGATGTACTGCAGAATCAGTTTAATAAAGTCTGATTAGTTTACTTTCTCCGGTCAGTTTGAAGCACTGTGGCCATGGGATAAATCATCTTTTTATCTCACCATGCTGCTCTTTTTCTTTGCTGAATCATATTTTAAAAGCACTAAACATATTTTTTAAATATCTATTTATTTACAGATGCAAAGAAGCATAACCACATAAATTCCCTCTTGTCCCAATGCTGTTTGATATAATATCTCAGTTGAAAGGATTGACTTTGCTCACAAAGTCTGTACTCAGGTTTCCCTTCTTAATATATCTCTTTTTCTTCTACATAAATAACCTTGTTAGTATTACAGGAAAACAGTCCTGAATCTCTTATCTTGATTTGTCAAGATCTCTGCTTGTACTGAACACTAAGTTAGATGTTTCTGACAAATTACTAGTATAAGCAGGGTGTTGAACTCCAGATATTTATGTTATATATATACATATACATGGACCTGAGCATCTTTAAGCTTGGTTTATTGCATGCTATGTGGAACAAATAAAGAGGTTTTCAGAATGGCTCTGTCTAAAACTCCTTTGTTTTATTTTTCAATGCTTACAGCAACAGAGATTGCATTTTGCTTGTTTCCTACCTAACACCATGATAAGTAGAGGCCCTATTTAAGGATTTAACACAAAACATGTGTTCCTCTGGCCTCTTCGTATCATGCTGTATTATGCAAACAGACCTTAGCAGCCAGTTCAGGTCCTTGAAAATGCATTAGTCCAATCTGGTCTGCCTTTCACCAGTCTGTGTCCAGTCAGTTTTTCAGTCTCTGATGTGGTCTGGACTTTCTTATGTTTATATAAAAATTCTCTTGTATTCTGTACATTTGCATTCCATTTTCCATTGGAATAAAAAAAATAAATCACCTTCTTCTAAAATTATTATTTCTATATAATACCATATTAATAGAAAGAAAGAAATAAATAGTGTTCCCCAAGCAGTCTGTAATATTCAGTAAAACTGCTTGTGGTACCTGAAGGTGATAGGAACAGTGTCAAAAACAAAGGGCATCTTCTATGTCAAGGGGCAACCCTATGAAATGCTGCTTAAGTTTTTGTCTCGTTGTTAAATTCTGAGCAAGAGTGATCAATGGTTTTCAGGCTCATTCAAGTGAATTGGCCTAGGATGAGCTTTAAAAAATTTAAAATTGCTTTATAATTGTCTACTGTCACAAGAATGAAGACTTGTGAAAAACAAAGGGGAAAAATAAAATCAAGTATTTCCACAGGTCCAATTAAAATGCATTGTTGAAGTTTGTATCATTAAGTTGATAATATAAAACAGATCATGCCCATGTAGTCTACCCACACATTCTTGTGTTCATATGTTCTTCTAGTTTATTTTCTTCTAACCTAATTAACCTATAATTTCCATCAAATTTGTGCACTGCTTTCAAGTAGGGTTGCAACATATGGATAGAGAAATAAGGGGAAAAGAAAGAGAAGCAAAACCTTTCCCTCATATTTTCTGAGGAGTCCTCAAAGACTAGACAAGGAGCCCTGATGCATCTTTTCAGGTTGCTGCTAAAAATGAAAAAAAAAAAATCAGACTGCAGTACTCATGTGGTGTTTTTTTTAATAAGCTTTTTGCAATTTTCTCACTTAGCACTAGCTACCATTAATAGCTGGTGCACAGTAAATAAAAGATTTATCTCAAGCTTCTACAGGGAGATGCAACAACCCAGGTATATATATAATTTTGAAAGCCTGAGATGTCTAGTCTGGCAAACCATGTTTCCTGAGTTTCCTCTGAGAAATTGTTTCTCTTGTGAAACTTAAAAAAATTGAACATTGATGCACTTTGCAGCCTGGATTTGTGGGGCTCATCTCCTTGCTAGTAAAATGTTACTAGATGCTGTTAAAACTTGGTTAAACCTTACAAACCAACTCACTCAGCAAAACAGGTTAAAATAATCTGGATAGGAGCCAGAAGAGATGAGACAGGATTATTTAAATCTAATATGTGTTAGAATACAGCTTAAGTCCTCTGACCCTAATCACTTTCCACCAGAGTACATCAAATTAGGATCCTGGGACAATTTACGTAGGAGTCTGAGTAAAATGTACTAGCTTTGTCCTACGGAAGAATTCATGGAAAATTCTTCCATGAAAAAACATGGATAGCCTCATATTAATTCCAGAGGCTATTTATATGCATAAGAAAGCTCAGCACTGGTTCTGACTCTGAAATATACATACAGTGAACTATGAGATGTTCTGCACCTTTAACAGCCTCTGATGCTGCTCTTTTTTACATTATTTCATAAAGTTAACTTTGTGTAATAAGAATTTCTGCATAGTTTGTAGGATTTAATTTTCTTTAAGCATTCTCTTAGAATTCTGTTTGCTTTCAAAACTGCCTTTCTCAGCTAATGGTCTGAAAAAAGCTGAGGTGGGCTTGGATAACATGATCCTCTCTGCTGTGCATTGTTAGAGAAATGTCAATCAGGGCATGGTAATGACATTGCTTTAATGAGGAAATTGAAAATCTTGAGAGAACTGTGATATGGCAATACTCAGAAGTGCTTTGGACCTCTTCAGTTGCCTCTGTTACTCCAAATAAATGGGGTGCTTACTAACTAGAGATGATCATTAGTGCTGACACTTAGAGCTGTTTATTTGGCATGGATACATTTATTCCTATGTGTTCCTGGTGGGAGTTATCACATAGGTTAGAGGTAAAATATGGAAATTTTTCACTTTGCTTTACCTGATTTTCCATTCTTTCATTATGGCATTTATTTTTCTTGGGGTGTTCAGAACAACACAGTTCTCAAAACAAGACTGAGCAGCTTGCCATCAAATCAAACCACTTGTAAAGAACCACATTTCTGATCATTTAGTCATATAGGTGTAAATAAATAGTCCTCAACTTTTTACTGTGTTTAAGTCATAGAAAACTAAGTTTTAAGTTAAGTCAGGTAAGTAAGCAATTAGATTTACTGGGATAGCTTCTTAGGAACCTCCTAGATGCTTTTGGCCTCTTCTGTCTCACAGGAGTCAATGCAGCTAGCTTCTTCCAACTTAGGAATATTCTATGAAGCACACCAAAAATAGAAGGTAGTTGAAATAGCTATTACCTGGATCTAATATAGCTCTTTAAAATTTACAATGTATAGTTTAAAAAAAAAAAAAAAGCTAGCCTAGGAAGATTTGTGATCTATTTTGTTACTGATAGAAAGGATACAAGATTTTTCAGAGCAATGAGTTCAAAAAGAAATATGTGTTTAGAAGACTAACGTGTATACAGCGGTGCTATTTTGAACTGGCAGGAGCCAAATGTCTCTGCAGTCTTTGACTTTCTGATTAAGATGAAGTTGGTCATCTCTGACAAGCTTTTAAAAACAACTGCAGCTGTGACAGTCTGTTTTGTAAGTTAACATTTTCTGTTATTTTGTCTGAGTGAAGTCTCTTGCAGGGTAACAGAACTGTGGAAGCATTTCTGCACTCAAAACAAAAAGACAAGAAGCTCCTGGCTTTTCATCAGAACTGAAGCATTCTAGAAAAGATTTCACCTGAGATACTGCAGTGGCAGCATTTACTTTTGTGAATGAGAGCTACTGTTTCCACTTGGGAAGCAATTCCCATCAGCCTGTAGATTAAGGACTTTTTAAAAGGTTCCCTATCCCCTCACAAAATCCTTCCATTTCACAATAATTAAAGTAACATATTTCTCAATGATCTAAATAATATAATAAAAATTAATAAATCATTTGACCATAAGGCCACATTACAATTTTTATTTATAGTCTTACAAGGGACAAAAATGTTTATCCTAATCAGTTTCTCCTATTATTCTGCTATTCTTGCTATGCATCAATGAGGCTGTGACTTTGAACTGTCTCTAGATCCAAATTCATATTTATTTTGAGGCTTAGGCTAGGATCCATAGCAGAATCAGCCATAGTAACACAACAGTGAATGTAATTAATGTCAATCATCTGTTTCAGATACCTGTCTCATTTCAATGCAACTCCTCTTCTGGAAGCAAGAAATCCTTCACAGATAATGAAAACAAACTTTGGTTAAATGCAATTCAGAACTGTGATTAACCACATAAAGCTGAAGAATTTTCTGCTGCAGTGGTTGCTACAGTTCATCTCCAGCCAGGTAGAGGAATTCTTTTAACAACTGCAAAAATAATACTGCAAAACTTGCTGCGTTCCCTTGACAGAACTGAGCAAAAGCCCACTGGACTATGGTTTTTACCTATCTTCTCCTCATCTAGATTTATTCCTAAAGCTGATAATGAATTGTGTGATAAGAAGGGTTCTCATAGGAAATAATTGTTATTTTGTAGAAAGGTGCAGTTTTTAATGGGGAACTTCTCAAATCTAGAATGACCAAATTCAATAGATGTCTGTAACAGTCAAGGTATCAGGAGACCACTCAGTCTTAGCTGTTAAATTAATCTCAGTCTATAAAAGTCCCAGGAGTACCCCAAAAAAACCAGGAATTTATAGCTTTCTCTCTTTCTTCTTCTCCCTTTTAGATTTCTGTGTGATTAATTCCTAACAGAATAAGTCCAGATGGACTGGCTTAGGTTTGCTGACTCTGTTGTGATGGCCGTTCTTATGTCTCTGATTTCTGTTTCAAAACTTCAGTCCTGTTCTTCTTCCTCTCCTGTCTTCTTCCCATCTGCATAACTAGCTTTATTCACAACTTATTTTTTTTTTCAGGCATGTGTAGATGATACTTTCAATTATTACAAGTTTCACAGTTCTTTGCTGACTGTTGTCTCCTTTGAAGTTCTGCTTTAAGTAGTTAAAAGGTTTTAAGGGGGTCTTGAAAGCTCAAGGTTTGCATATGGATGAGCAGAACTGGGGCCCAGTCTTACCTGATAATTATATATGGCATCACTGGGAAGGAACATCTGTAGCTATGCTGGGGATATGTCTTTACTTTCATTATTTCTTATATTTTGAAAGAATAATTTATTTCTAACAGTGAAATCCTCACCCAATAATTGAATTGCAGTTATTTAAATAGAGGAATATACAAAATTTTGATGCAGAAAATTAAACTTTTTTTCACCGTGTTAATTGCTTGTATTTATCTGACTTAGTAGATCAGATATTTTAAATCTAAACTTCCCACTGTCTATAAAGTCATCTTGGATGAATAAAAAAGTCAAAACAGACATTGCACCTTAAAATAGCAAATCGTCACAGCTGGAAAATGTTTGTTTCTTCTCCTCAGCAGTGTGGAAAGAGAAAGAGAGAGAAAAACATCAGTCTGTTTATTCAAGCTGCTAGTAATCTCAACCCTGCTGGCTGTCAGTCTGTCCCTTCCTCCAAACAGAGTGACTGGCAGTAATAAACACATATTCTCCCCTTTCAAAACTCAGGTCTGGGCACCCTGGCTAGAACTGCTTGCTGACAGGTAGAAATTATCCCAGGATGTGATGTATTTATCATGATGTGTACATTGTGCTAGGTGTGAA